TGAATTTTGATCCCTGTAACCAATATCCCTGATAAAAATGTAGAACATTTCTGTCACTTAGAAGATATAGTTGTATCTTATTCCAGCCAATTCCTGTTCCTCATAGACAATCACTGGCTTAGACTTTCCTGTTCTGAACTTCATACACATGGAATCATGTAGAATGTACTCTGGTCTCTGGCTTCTTTCACTCAAGAAACCTACAAGAGTTGTCCATTGGTTTACCTGATTGTGGAGGCTGGCAAGTCCAAAATCTGCAGGGTGGGCCAGCGGGCTAGAGATCCAGAAAAGAGTAGATGCTGAAGCCCAAGTCTGAAGGCAGTCCCAGGGCAGAATCCTTCCTTGGAGGAGGTCAGCCTTTTTTCTACTAGTCTTTCAGTTGAATGGAGGAGGCCCGCCCCCATTAGGGAGAGTGACCAGCTTTATTCAGTCAACTGATTTATATGTTAATCTCCTCTAAAAAAATGCAGCAATATCTGGAATACTGTCTAACCAAATATCTGGAAACTGTAGCCTACGTATGTTGATGCCTAAAATTATTATCACAAGGACTCAGCTTATAGTTGAAGAATCAGAACAAATTAAAAATTTAAATGAAAAAAAAAGAAGAAACACAATTGCTAAGTTAAAAACCATTTTTAATGAGATTTTTTGATAGAGATTGTTAAATTACTTTCTAGAAAGGCTACTATTTTTCTACCCTGCCTTAGAATATAAGAATATGTATTTTAATATATTCTAATATATAGAATATATATTTATGTTAATATATATGATATTATATATATTATAATATATTCTAATCAACAATGGATATTATTGTTCTTTTTCATCATTTCATCCAAAAAGTCAAAGAAAGCGAAAAAGGATATATTATGAATGAACATTTTTCATGTTCATTAGTAAATATTATTAGTATTTTTTTCTAGTGAATTTCTTTTTTTTTTACTTAGATGTTTACTATTTTCTTATTTGTCTTTTGTTAACAAACAAAACTTTAAATATAAATCTTTTAAATATAAATCATTTAATTATAAATCTTATATGTTACAGTTAATTTTTTTCTAACTCATTGCTTACCTTTTAACTTTTTTCCCCCTTTGCTAACTTGCCATTTTACAGTTTTAATTTCTTATGATGTCTTTCTTTATAACCAGTCTCTTCTTTATGTTTTTTCTACTTATTTTTAACATAAGTAAGGATTATTTTCCTGTGCAATAAACAGTATTTACAAAGTTGTCTTTGATTCTTCCATAGATAAGATATGTTTATATAGTATATTCAAGAATTCTGGAGAGTTGGACTAGAGGGGTTTTTTTTATTATTATTTATACTTTCTAGTAACTTTAAAATGAGAAAGACTACTAGTAAGAGAATTGGGCAATAGTATTAAAAATATTTCCATCCAAAATGGTAAACTAAATTACAAAATTTGGATGTTTAAAAGCATTGGTCCTCTAGAGAATTTGTGCTCTAGAACTTGGTGATCCTGGGCAGCCCTGGATTATTGTAGTGTCTTATGGTGTGAGAGCAGGGCTCTGAATTGACCCTGGCTCTCTGCTCATCCTTGCAGAAGCCACAGTGGCTGCCTAGTCAGGAGACCATGTGGATTCTCCCAAATGATGACAAAGGAATTTGAATATTTGAGTAAAAACACAGGTGTATGTTATCTCCAATGTGCCTGCACATTACTGTGTTTGAGATTATGTGTCTTGTCTTCTTAGGTAGCAGATGGGGCAAATGCCATTGTACTGGGGACATTGGGAGATATTTCTTCTCCTCTTGCCATTATTGGTGGAAATTGTGCTCTGCAGGGTTTTGACCATGAAGGAAATGATCTCTTTTGGACGGTATGAAGAACTAAACATTCTTTTTGGCATTTTTACTTTTAATTTTATTTAACCATTGACTGTACTAAATAATAAAACATAAAATAGAACAAAATTTGTAATGTTTTACAAACGTTAAAAAAGGGTGGTTTGTATAATCCTCCCCTTCATATTGCTAGTATATTTTGATTGAATCTTTAATAAAGATGATTTAATGATTTTTGTTTTCATTTTTAGGTTACTGGAGACAATGTTCATTCCTTGGCCTTGTGTGACTTTGATGGTGATGGGAAGAAAGAGGTATGTGAGGGAGAAGATGATACTTTGTATGTTGAGCTAAATAAGTTGCCCCTGACGGTGACATTAGTATGGAGAGAAGTCTTAGTTTTTCATGCCTGATTTTGGAGCTCTGTTACCTAAATGATGAACTTACTGGCCTCATTGGTCTTTTTCCTCTCTTTTGAACAATAAATCACTTGTCAACTAGATTGAACAGTACATCTAATACAAAGATCATGGCAATTGATCAAGGAAGTTTTAAAAACACAGGAGAGAGAAGGCAGAACAGTTAGAGGGGAACCTGTCATATTTAAAATCTTGTAAATTGCTTCTGATATTCTGAAATCATATTAATAAGTAGTTTTCAATTTTGGCCCACTTTTTCAGTAATATAAAAGTTTTAGAGATTGTTTCTTAGCTTTTTAAATTATTCTAATAATTACTCAAAATTAGCTTCTCGAGCACTCTGTGCATGTGAAGGGCTATTTTTGGCACTAACTTAGTCCTCCTGTCCATGGACTCTTGGCTCTTATGTTTGAAACAGGGTCTCCCTCTGCAACAGGGAAGGTTGCTGAACTAGAGAACATTCTGAAGTACAGGGTAAAAGAACATGTCTGGCAAGATGTGCCTCCCACATGGGAAGATAAAATGTAGAGTAGCTACTTTTCTTCACTGAGTCTGTTGACCCTCAACCCTGCCATTAGAGAGGATCTTCTTGAGCATTAGGTTATTGGAGGATTGGGGCTCTTGGGTGGTGGTAGCAGCAAAGTAATACGAAATCTTTGTTTTAGTTATGGGAATTTTGCTGTGTTCATTTCCTGAGCTAAATGTATATGGTTTCCCTTCACTTGAGCTTCTTGTTGGATCTGAGGATTTTGATATCCGAGTTTTTAAAGAAGATGAGATTGTGGCAGAAATGACAGAAACAGAGGTAAGAAGTACCACCTTCGCCTTGGGCAGATCAAGCAACAAACCTAACATCAGATGAGGGTGCCAGGGCATCTTTTTACAGTCCAGAGGGTTTTAGGATAAAAACTTATTTAATCATACTATATGCTTTATATAATCACAGTTATTAAAATGTAAACTGATAGCTATGGATAGAGAAGAAACGAAGGAGAGAAATTAGTGCCACAGTAGTGGTGTGGACAGGTGTGTCTGTGCAAGGGTCCTGTGGTATAAATATGTGCTTTTCCAGAAGGAGGGTCCTTACTGTTCATTAGGCTCTTGAATAGACTCATAACCTCCCACCCCCTAGAACCACCCCAAACAGCTAGAGAGTCACTGGCCTGAAGGTGCTGTGTCCTCCATTTTTGTATCTCTTTCATTCTAATTTACAGTAAATCTTTTCCCATTGGTAGAAGTCATTCAGTTTTGCTTTCTTTAGATTTCTGTTGTTTGTCAATACTGGATGTGAGGAGAGTATAATTCTCTGAAACACTTTTCAAGGAGAGGAGACCTTGAAATAGAGCTAGAGATTAGCAGGAACTTGTTGCTCCTCAAGTCCAAAAAAGAAAGAGGCAAATGAACTAAAGAAATACTAAAGGATCTATGTAATCTGGGGCTGAATTTATGAAAATATGGACTTTATAAAATTGTTCATCTGCATAGCCAATTTCCTCTCCTCTTGGTTTGGTTTTGCTTGCCGTTCAAATATCTTTTCCCAGTTCAGCAGAATCATGATTCATTTGGCAGTTGAACATGTGCTGAGTATTGCCAGGAGAATGCCTTGAGCTAAATAATTCTGGATTCCTACACAGTACTTCGTATTCAGAGTTAAGTGGAGTGGGTGGTTTTGTAGAAAAGCTGTAGGTGTAAAGGAAATTACATAACTATTCTCTGCTTTACACAACTTACTTCTTAATATCTATTGTATTAGGGCCAGAATTAGAAAATAGATCTGCAGGATCATAGATATCATTAGTTTTTGGATTTAACTTGAAAGTATAATTTTGTTTAGTATCTAAAATTTTATCCTTTTAAGGATGTTAAATCCTTGTTGTAGTCCTGTAACTATTTCTGTATAATATATACATTCTGTATATTGTTACATACCCACTTACTCAGATTTTCAGTTTTGAAAGGATTATACTTTATTTTACTGCAAGCAAACAATTATGTCATAGAAAGAAAAGTGTAAATGTAAAAATTAGTCAATTGTAGATTAGAATTATTTTTAAAATTTAGACTGTAGTAGTAACTGTTTGTGCTGGGGTTGTGGGTCAGTGGTAGAGCGCTTGCCTAGCATGCCTGAGGCACTGGGTTCATTCCTCAGTACCACATAAAAATAAAATAAAGGTATTATATCCACCTACTTGTGATTTGCCTTAGCTTCCCAAGTAGCTTGGATTACAGGTGTGCACACTACCACACCTGGCTCATATGCTAGTTCTTGTGTACTTGAAGTATATATTCCTTTTGGGACAAGGTCTTTCTAAGTTTCTTAGACCTCACTAAGTTGCTGAGGCTGGCTTTGAACTTGGGATCCTCCTGCCTCAGCCTCCTGAGTCTCTGGGATTACAGGTGTGCACCACTGCACCCAGTGGCATATAGTTTCAAAAACTACTTCATATTAAATTGAACCTTAACAAAAAGATGTGGTTTATGTGTTATTTTTTGCAGATAATCACCTCTCTGTGTCCCATGTATGGCAGTCGATTTGGTTATGCCCTTTCCAATGGCACAGTTGGAGTTTATGACAAAACAGCTCGATACTGGAGAATAAAAGTAAAGTCAGCTTTTTCTACTCATGCACTTTATATTTCAGTATCAGAGACTTCTGTACTAATTATTGAAATTTCCTTTCAGTCCAAAAATCATGCCATGAGTATCCATGCTTTTGACCTTAATTCTGATGGAGTGTGTGAACTGATAACCGGTTGGTCGAATGGGAAGGTGAGTGTAAATTAGCGGTTTGTGTGTAGTTCTAAGTAATAATGTTGTGATAAGGGCTGCAGACCTAGAATTGTAACACGGAAACAACCCTGACTTCCTTGGCTGGGTTTTCAGATTTAACCTCCCAATCTTTCCACACTTTTCTTCCTGCTACATAGTGACTATCCTTTTAGCCTTGTAAGCCCTGCTTGAGAAAAATCTCCTGGGGGGTTCTTTCTAAATCTCTTCTTTGAAAGAAGGAAAAGCCATCAATCAGGTTGCCTGTAGGTATAGGCCAGTTGGGGGGGTGGGGTTAATCACATAGTAATAATGAACTGTCTGAATAGCTCTTTCCTAATAAATCTTTAACACTGACGGAAAACTTAGAATTAATGAGAAGAATCAGGTTAGCATATTGTTTTCCCAGCTATCACTTCAAAGTAAAACCCCTTTTTCTTTCTTTCCTTTTTAAACTCAGATCAGAATTTCTTAGTCTTTTGGCAAGTCCAGATTGTCAGAAACTGTCTCAGGAGCTGCCAGGTCTCCATGGATACTGTGCCCTTGCTTTCTTCTCTGTCAGTGTTGGGCTGCCTGGAGGGGATCAGCTAGTTCCGCCTTTTGTCTTTCTTTCTCTTTACTTTGGGCCAGCACCTCCAGTCTTTCTGTGGTGTTACATAATGAACAGGTTCTAAAAAGTTATTAGGCTGTTCCTGCTCTTCTTTTTGGGCTTGTCCTTGGTGTGGGTATTCAGAATCATAAGTGAAGGTTGTGTCATTGTTTATTAAGAAGTAAAAGTCTACAAAATGGATGTCTTAATTTATGTGGCTGTTTTAACAAAATACTACAGACTGGGTGGCTCCTAAAAAGCAGAAGTCTATTTCACAGAGCTCTGGAGGTTGGGAGTCCAAGGTCAGGGAGTGGCAGATCTCTGGTCTGGGAGGGCTGCTTCCTCACGGTGGTTTTCTTCTTACTGTGGTGGACGGGATGGAGATCTTTCAAGGACTCTCATGAGAATGAGAGTACTGATCCCAGGCGTGAGGGCAGGCAAATTTTGGGGAGACACAAACATTAAAACCATAGGAAAGTACTATATTCTGGGAGAATATAAATTATGATTGATTCAAGAATTACAAAACTACTTAGACTTGAGAAATTATTAAAAGTTACTTCTAATTACACTTTGGACCTAGAGTTTCATAGTTTAATTCTTTCAAAATTTTAAGGATTTTTTTGTTATATAATCTGTTCCAAAGCATAAAAAAAGATAAGAAAATTATGAAATCATAATATAAGTGGAAAAACTGATTATCTACACTTAACACAAATGGTCTTGAAAAGGCAAATAAACAGATGCAACTTGTGAATGTAGGAGTAAAAATACTAAAAAAAATACCACTGGCCTGTTAACTTTGTCTTTAGTAGGTTGTTTGTTGAGTTGGAGGTCTGTCCTCTCCTGCAGGACAAAACTTCCCTGTTGGATAAGCAAAAGAAGAGACTGTCCACAGAAGGACTTATTTGTAGTCCTTCTCAGCTGCAAACTTAGTAATATGGCGATGCAGTGCTAAGGCTGTTCGATAGCTAGGCTTTCACAGGGAAGAAGTTCAGTTCAGCCCCAGTTAGAAGGGTATTTAATATGCTCAGAACTTTGGTAAAACACCAGCATTCCTTCCTTCACCAGCTTTGGTCATCATAATCTTCAGGCTTACCTGATGTTGTTAGAAATGACACAAATAAGCTGGACACAGTGGCTCACACATATGATCCCAGCTCTTTGGGAGGCTGAGGCAGGAGGTTCACAAGTTTGAAGTCAGCTTCAGAAACTTAACTAGACTCTGTCTCAAAATACAGTATGAAGGACTGCTGGTGTAGTTCAGTGGTAGAGCACTTAGCATGTGTCACTTGCCTAGCATGTGTACAAGTCCCTGGGTTCAATTCCAGGTACCCCCCCCCAAAAAAAAAAGAAAGAAAAGAAAAAGAAGTTACATGCGTATATACCCTGGACAAGGAGTAGTCTGTGACCTAAATAATTTTTTGGTTGCAAAGTTTTCCCTAGAAGAATGTATACGAAAAGACAAAATAGTGAATGGCAGTGTCATTGAAATGACACTGGTTGCTCTGCCAGATATTCCGTAGCTAGCCTTTTGTTTATGACACCGGTGTCCTTACCTGGGCTTAAATCATCATTTTGAATGAGCATCTATGATTGTTCTTTAGATGCCTTTGCTTCTGATCAGTCAGTGATTTATTTGATTTATTCCTGGGAGGAAGAGAAACAATGAGGATAGGAGTAGTGAGTCTGGGCAGTTTGTGTGGAAGAGGACACTTCACAGGGTTGTTGCAAAAGGTGGTATGGTGGGGACTGGGTGGTATGGTGGGGAACTGGCCTCGCTTGGCGTTTACACTTCAGATATAATGATATTTGGTATTCTTGGATTTCAGGAAGGTAGGATTTTTATAGAGAGCTGACATGTGCCCTGGACCTATGTGCCAGGCCCTCTTCAAGTGCTTTACACGTGGAGTTCTTCCTGGCCTCCTTAGGACCCTGGGAGGTCTAAGTGCTCTTCTTTCCCTCGAGTCTGGTTATTGATCTTCACACGAGACCAAGCACAGAATGGCTAAGACACAAGGAGAAGCAGTCACGGAGAAGTCACAGACTTCGTGGAACACTTTAAAGACTGCTTGACTGAATGACCTCTAAAGCTGGGTTTTATTTCAAAACCTTGTGCTGCTGATGGTGGTATTTTCAAACTGTGGCATAAGTGACTTTAAGTTCCTGTTTTATTTTTAGGTTGATGCTCGAAGTGACCGAACTGGAGAGGTCATCTTTAAAGACAACTTCTCTTCTGCCATTGCTGGTGTGCTCGAGGCGGATTACCGGATGGATGGCCACGTACAGTTAATCTGCTGCTCAGTGGAAGGGGAAAGTAAATTGAGTTGGGAAAAATTCTTGAAAAGTCACTTTTTCAATTTGGTTGGGTCAAATGCCAGGAAATTCTAGTCTAAAGTATTTATACTGAGTTTTAATAAGTCCACATCAGTTGGGAAGATGAGAATTTCAGTTTTTGGTTTTTAAGAACAACTAACTGATGACCTAAAAGTAGATATGGCTGTACCTGGGGTGGTCCTCCGTCCAGTGAGTGTTTTTCCCTCTCTTCAGTCCGGGGCTACCTGCCAGGCACCACTGAGATGAGGGGAAACCTCATGGACACCAGTGTGGAGCAGGACCTGATCCGAGAGCTGAGTCAGAAAAAGCAGAATCTGTTGCTAGAACTCCGTAACTACGAGGAAAACGCCAAGGTAGGGCCCGCTGGGAGGGGAGGCAGAATCTGAAATGCTGAGACTGACCCCGAGGATTGGCAGGTGAGGAGAAGGACCAGGTCAGGGCTGGCCAGGGTGCCGACCTCCTCCTGCCTATCTGCAGAAGGCAGGTTGCATCAGCCTCTCTGCCAGCGCCAGAATGACGAAGCCATGCATCTGTTGATCTAGAAATTCCACTTTCAGGCAGGTGATCTGTAGAAACATTTGTCAGGTGAATAGCTGGAAGCAACTTAACTGTTCATCAGTGACAGGGAGTACATGCTGGGGAATTAATAGCTGCTCAAAAAATGAAGTCAATATATCTGGACTGATATGGAAGGGTATTTGGGTGTTATTAAATAGAAAAAAAGCAAAAACAATATATATAGAGTGTTTCTTTTATCATTTTTAAAAAACTATACATAAATTGATAACTAAAAAATACGCGTGTGTGTATCCACCAGCCTGGAAGGAGATGAGCAGGAGAGGGCTTTAGTTTATCCTGTCATATGTTACTGTGTTGGAATTTGGCCTATCAAGTGAGGGTTTTTTTTTTTTTTTTTTTTTTGTGGTGGGCTGCTGGGGGTTGAACCTAGGGCTTTGTACATGCTGACATGTGCTCTACCACTGTCATTTTAAAGAACATGAAAAGCATGTAAAAGGAACAGTGAGATGCAGGGAACCATAACGACAGAAAGGGCGAAGGGATGGGTGTTTCCCACAGGGCCAGGTTGGGCAGAGGCAAACTCCTGAGATGAGTTCTCTCGTCCCTCTGACTCAGGAGTAGATGATGGGGAGTCTGTCCTTTGAAACCAAGCAGCCACATTATTTAAAATCGACATTAGTTCACTGTTTTAGTGACAGGTTTGGTGGGTGGGTGTTTCCTAGGCTGAACTGAGCAGTCCACTGAATGAGGGCGATGGGCAAAGAGGCATAATCCCGGCCAACACCAAGCTCCACACTGCGCTCTCCGTCAAGCTGGGAACTGAGAAGCAAGCTGCTCACGTGGAGTTGTGCATCTCTACTTCAAATGGTGAGCCGGTGTTTGCAGTGGGCTGCCAGGTGCTGGTGCCGTCTCGGAGCAGGGCTGGAGCTGCTGTTTCTTCTCTTCCCTGCAGACACTATCATCCGGGCAGTGTTGATTTTTGCCGAGGGAATTTTTGTAGGTGAAAGCCACGTGGTACATCCCAGCGTTCACAACCTTTCCAGCTCCATCCGTGTCCCAGTTTCACCTCCCAAGGATGTCCCGGTGGATCTGCACTTGAAAACCTTTGTGGGTTACAGAAGCAGGTGACCCTTTACAAGTCACTTAGAGGAGGGCAGGGTTTTCCATCGTGCAGGCGTCCTCTGGGGCAGAGAAGACATTTGGTGGCTCCAACCCCCAGTTAGTGTTTCCCACAACCTTTTATTTCCCTAATTTGAAATTTTTCCAAATTAGGAAAGTGCTGGGAATCAAACCCAGGGCCTCATGCATGCTAGGCAAACACTCTAGCCCTGAGCTACGTCTCCAACCCCTAACATTTTATAAATATGGGGCTGAGTAGGTATGTGGCTCAGTAAAGTGGTCACCTTATTTTCTGGACCTTGTGCTTTGAAATAACACTCCACTCAACACTTCTCTTGTGTCCCTTTGCTTGGCCATAGCACCCAGTTCCATGTATTTGAATTGACAAGACAGCTCCCCCGATTCTCTATGTACACACTGACCAGCCCACACAACGCCAGTGAACCCGTCAGCTATGTTAACTTTATCATTGCCGAACGGGCACAGAGGGTAAGTAACTTGTGCTTTTCTTCAAATTGGAGTCCTTTAGATGTTACTTTGTAGAAAGGGGGAAATTATATGAATTATGTTGGTAACAGCAAACATTATTTGAAAGAATTATGTAGTGTGGAGGCTGGGATTGTGGCTCAGCGGGAGAGCTCTCGCCTAGCACGGGCGGGACCGGGTTTGATCCTCAGGACCACATAAAAATAAAGGCATTGTGTTATGTCCATCTACACCTAAAAAATAAATATTAAAAAAAGAATTATGTGATTTGGCTTGTAACATGTAATGAAAATATTGCTGAAGTATCTTCTTTCACTTTGAAAAAAATACATTATTTGCATAATCCTTAATTACAAATGAATTCTTACCAGTTCTTAATTTCTCTCTCTCTTTTGTTATGGTCTTAATGTGTATGTCCTTTTTTAAAATATTTTTTAGTGGTAGTTGACACAAGACCTTTATTTAATTTATTTATTTATATGTGGTGCTGAGAATTGAACCCAGGGCCTCACGCGTGCTAGGCAAGCTAGGCAAGCGCTCTACTGCTGAGCCACAACCCCAGCCCCAGTGTGTTTGTCTTGACTTAGTATTTTGAGAGGAACTTACATCAAGATGCAAAGAGAGAAGCTGGGTGTCCTGGTGCGCACCTGTAGTCCTCGCTAGGGGAAGCTGAGGCAGGAGGATAACTTGAGCCTAGGAATTCAGGGCCAGCCAGGGCCCAGTCTCTTCAAACACACAAAACAAACAAACAGCAACAAAAGATGGAGAGTGGGACATGGAGTTGGGAGCATTGTTTGGGGTTTAAGTGCTACCTTTTTTTTTTTTTCCTTTTATGTGGGGCTGGGGATTGAACCCAGGGCCTTGTGCATGTGAGACAAGCACTCTACCAACTGAGCTATAGCCCCAGCCCTTAAATACTACGTTAATTAAATTTTAAATAATCTTGGGAAGTTCCCCTCACCAGCCTGAGCCTCAAGTTCCTTATCTGTAAGTGAAGGTGTGTTGTCTACCACTAAGGCCCCGAGGATACGTGAGTGGTATGGCGATGCCTTATTAAGTTGAAAGGACTAATAAACAGACTTCAACTGTGGCCAAGTCTCAGAATTCTTGGTGAGGCTTTTTAATTACATGGATTCTCAGGCTCCTGTATTGCCTGTGGAATCAGAAACTCCATAGGTGGACTCTTCCAAAGGCATCAAGGGATTCTGACATGGAATCTGTGTTGCAAGCCACTGTAAAATATTCTTAACACTAAAACTCCTCACGTGCAAGTGTCCTGTGTTTGTGTTGTGTGCGTGTATATTCTTCACTTGAATTTTTTTTTTTTTTTTTTTTTTTTTAAGAATAGAGTGGAGGGTTGGGATAGTGGCTCAGGGGCAGAGCGCTTACCTAGTATGTGTGAGGTCCTGGGTTCGATCCTCAACATCACATAAAAATAAATAAAATAAAGATATTGTGTCCAACTACAACTAAAAAAATAAATATTTAAAAAAAGAAAGATCTCATCATTAGTTTTAAAAAAAAGAATAGAATGGAATAGTTTTAAGCTGATTACGTTGTCCAGGATACACCCACAAAAGAGCTGTTGTATAAACAGAATTAACACTGTACTTCTGTCATTTGTACGTTGCATTTAAGATTTTGTCTAAGTAGAGAATACTGTAAAATCATGTCTTCTGGGGGTCAGACATAATCATGAATGTTACTTAAGAATATGTGTGAGAGCCGGGAGTGGTGGGGCCTGTCTATAATCCCAGCAGCTCAGGAGGCTGAGGCAGGAGGATTGTGAGTTCAAAGCCAGCCTAACAAAAGCAAGGCACTAAGCAACTCATTGACACCCTGCATCTAAATAAAATATAAAAAAGGGCTGGGGATATGGTTCAGTGGTTAAGTGCCCCGGGGTTCAATAAAAAAAAAGTAAAATGTGTATAAGGAGGGAAAAAGGAGTCTGATCAGTGATCTTTTGGTGAGGATGAGGTATTTAAACTGAGGGAGAAGTCTTCCTTCTGTAATGACTGTCCTTTAAAAAAATGAAGTTTGTTTCATTCTGCTATTTTTCAGATTGCTATATGGCTCAACCAGAACTTTCTGTTACCAGAAGACACTAACATTCAGAATGCTCCATTTCAAGTATGTTTCACATCATTACGAAATGGCGGCCATCTCTACATAAAAATAAAACCTAGTGGAGAGGTACTGTTTAATGTCAAGGTCGTTCATAGATTTCTCATGTGCTGTTTAACCACTTGGTGCAAAGTGAGGCGGATGATTTCAGTGCCAAGATCATAAAACCAAGTGTTGTAACATAGTCTGTTAGTATTACCGTTGTAGACCCTGGGGTATAATCTAGAAGAGTGGTTCTGTCTCCCTCTTTCCTTTCCTTCACCCCTTTCATGTACATTTTGGGTAGGGTTGGGATTACAGATGTTCATAAAAGCATTTTTTCAGTCTTTGAATAGTCTTATCACTTATTTTATAAGGCTAGAGGATTGACTTTTTAGCTACCCACAGGGAGTAAAAAATGTTTATAATTTCCTAAAGGATTAATAACCCTTATCTCATTCATTGCTACATATAAATATATGCTCAGAAATTGTGTTAACTATGGAGAAATTCATGTACTGATTCAGCCAAGTTTGCCTGTTGTCTGAGGATGCTAACCTGGCCTGTTTTTTTCCTGGATAGATCACAGTAAATACTGATGATATTGACTTGGCTGGTGATATTATCCAGTCGATGGCTTCATTTTTTGCTGTTGAAGACCTTCAGGTAGAAGCAGATTTTCCTGTCTACTTTGAAGAGTTACGAAAGGTGCTGGTTAAGGTGAGGGTGCCTGGTGGCTGCATCTGTGAGAATGTGGTCTCTCCTAGTTTGGAATGTTTCGGTTAATGAATGAGGCCACAGATGTACTTACGTGATAATCATGTTCTAAATAATTCTTGTAAAAAAATTGAACTAGTATTAGTATTGGAGACTTTAAAGGATTTCTTTTATAAGAGTAGGCCATCTCTTGACCACCCTATTTTCTTTCTTTGTTTAGGGGGACACTTTTAAAAATATACATCATATTAACATCCTCCTTTGCTAGCTCTTCATCTTATCTGGCTATATCTTCTTTGGTCTTCAGTTTATTGCTTTCCAAAAACCCAAGAGCAAACCAAGGAGGATTG